CAAGTGAGTACACGTTGCACAAACGCTGCGAAATGGACAAGAAGTCTACAGCTCAAGCAAACTGTCAATCGTGTGCCAAAGCGTACCTCAAACGGCTTCAGCATGATATTTAACGAGGCAGATTGGGATTATCAACCCATAACAATACTGATTGACTCTGGCGCCCAGCGAAGCTTCATCAAATCAAAACAGTGAAGAGCTTAAGCTGCCAGTCATCCAGAAGACGTCATTCACCACATAAGGAATGGGAGGATTGAAAGAGACCTTCACTCCAATGAAGTATACTTTAAAAAGCCTTCACAACACAAAGAAGCTCAAAAGCTATCAATGCATAGGAAAGAGAAGTTGACAGCCAACCTAAAAGCCCTTCTCACAGATGCAGATGTCCGCTTCATTTCCAGCAGAAACTTGACGATAGCTTAAGATACGCTCACCCGAATAAGCGTCTCACGCGATCTCACTATTGGACAATCTCCATAATTTTGTCACTGTTCACACCGAAGCAGTGCTCAAGCTTCCTTCGGGGCTCATCTTAACCCCAAGCATACTTGGATATGTCATATGGTACAAGCCGTACCAACGTGAGCACAGAAATCGTCGACACCTTTGGTTGCACATCAACGATGCAGAAAGCCTCCAAATCCGACCCTTACTCTCAACGACAAGCCAAATGGCTAACGACAAAAAAAAACGGGCACCAATTCCAACGAAAGCAGTACACGTGCAATCAGCAGGAGAATCTTCCAAGCGCATGCTGAAGTGACATCTCAAAAGACATCGAAGTTGTTACAGAAAAAGAGGAAAAACGGGACAGCTGCTTTCAACTGCGATGCTAAGGCAGACAGACAACGATGGCTGGCCAAAGTTTGCTGCATATTAGGCTCTAGTTCCAGCTCCAAGGGCTTCCGAGGAATACGAATGGAACTGTTGCCAAAACACTTCAATCGACGGCAGAAAGCTAATATAAAGATGAAGGACCTGCCGAAGATCACACATCACAAACATCTGATCACGGAAACGCCGGCTATCACAAAGACAATCACCGACGATTTTGTCAACTCAAAATCGGCGAGGGCAGATCCGACAAGGAAGAAGAGACGAAAACGAAAGGCGAAGCTGCATCACGGAATAGCAACCAGCAACTACTACAACAGTTCAACCTAAATTCTCTTCTGTCTATTGCCTCCATTAGCGTGTCTAAGTTTATACAGTTCGATACATTGATTATATGTCGATTAACTTCTTGCTTCCTCGCCCGGAGTGTTGATGGTTTATAAATCGTCAATTTCGTCAGCCAATCTAATTCATACTCATGAACGCTATATATCATTTCAAGTACAAATGCTTTTATGGGGTTTTGATTGTATTGTTTTTTATATTTCATCAGATTTCGCCTCTTGCTTGCACGCCCGGAGTGTTGATGATTTATGTATCATCAACCTCAACTACTCTATATTTACTATTCTATATTCCTAATAGCTTACGGTTATTCCCCATAGGTTATATTCCCCAACCGCTTATATTTAAGTGCCGAATCACTCAACAATGAGTGCAGCCCATCTTCCAGTGGCCGCGCCAAGCCGCGGCATCCTCTTTCATTGTATATTTTCCTTATGCAGCTTGATTGTGCACGGGTCAGCTCCGCCTTACTACCTATATAAGGGGCCCTTGACTGTATCATACGTTGCTCTCCCCGGTTCAACACCGGGTTCTTCTTAATAAACTATCCAACGACTCCACTATCGTCAACGAGACATTGGTTACCACCAAAGGGCAGTTGGTGATACCGCTCCGTAGGTTTGTGAGCAGTTTCTTCTTCAAATGTCTGTAGGTAGCACATAGTTCAGAAATCAATTGTTTTCGTCGCCAAAATTCTTCGAGAATACAATGTCTTGAGTGTCAAGTATATTGTGAGCGCCTATAATTTTTGTTTTGAAATTCAAATGCTTTTGAAGTGAATTTCAATATTTGCCGAAGTTTAACCCAAGAGAAGATTACCGTAATGAAATCAAAGATTATCGATAAAGGCAGCATCCAGGCAGATCTGGACCTATGGAAGTTTTATGTGGAAAGTACTTTTGGGGCCCTAACTAACAATAAGGCACAACAGCTGAGATACGAAACTGGGCCCCGCGACCGTACTCGCATGAATTAATGGCAGCTTCGCGCCAGGACCCACGCTTTGCGCCATGAATCCATGCGAAATACGATCGCGGGTCCAGTTTCGCGGAGAATATCTCAGCCGTTAGGGCACTACCTGAACTGCCAGTTGGGCAGTGGCTTAGTTAGGGCCCCGAAATTACTATCCACGTGAGATCCCCATGTGTCCAGACTTGCCTGGACGCTGCTTATAAGGCGATCCTATGTTGCTCAAATATTGGAAGGATATCGCATAAGGATCCCACCAGGTTTTTTTTAAAAAAGGTATCCCGTTTTATAGTGACCTTTCACATTCATAATTTGACAAAATTCCAACTTGAAGGTTTCCTTGAAAAAGCTCTGAAACAATTGATTTTTTCCTGTCACAACTGAGGAGTTTTCAAAAGAAAATCACATCCTAGTAAGTTTGTTGCGATGATTGTTCTGCTTTTGGAACCGATTTTCATGATGTGAGTCGCTTCTGTTTGTTAATCCTTGTGGCTTGAGGCATCTTCTTTTGCTGGAAGTAGGGGGGGGGGTGTGAAGAGGGGGTCAAGGTCAATTGAATCTGTGGAAAGAGAGGGGCTTAAGGTCAATTGAATCTGTGGAGAGAGGACTCGAATGAGAGGTGTATTTGAGAAAATACGAATTTTCTCCCGAAACTTTGGAAGCTTGTGACAGGACCCTTACGCGATTGAATGAATTTGTAGCCCTTCGCTTTTTTCAAGATCACATTCTTGGAAAATTGTTTTCACAAATAGCAATCAACTAGTGGAAAATGCTAAGATATTTTTCGCAGCCAAGCGGCTAATAATGTATCGCTCAGCCCACTTACTGGCGATCCATAGAGTCACTAATTTAATAGAAATCGTTTGCATTTGAAATAGGCCTGCCAAGAACAGAGGTCTTGGCAGGCCTATTTCAAATGCAAACGCACTAAGCGCCAGTCTTTCTTTGGAACTAAGAACCTACAGTACCAGATCATGCTTTAAGACATTGCAAATATCAAGCGAACGTTGTGGAGAACGACACTAATTTTCGATACTTGAAGGCAATGTGACAAAAAGTCAATTTTGAAAGTATTCTCACTTGGGCCTATTCGCTATGCTGAATCCGGAAATTTATACTAAAAAGCGCGAAAACGGCGAAGGAGGCTCTAACGCAGGAGGGTAAAGAGCAGACGAGCGAGTCTTTCACTCTGTATAGTCATTCTCGCAGCTTACAGAGCGATTTTCTCGGTTCGGTGGTTCAAGTCATTAGCGCTTGGCCGGTGGGGATGTCAGAGCAGCTAGGAAAGCGGGAAGATCACTCCGAAAGCTGGGAGAGTGACTTTACAGAGCCATGGACCACGCCCACCTGCTGATTTCCTCCTTCGTGAGAGCCCTTTTTGCCATTTTCGCGCTCTCTAGTAGGTTTTTGGATTCAGCTGGCGAAAAAGCACAGCTAAGCAAAAAAACTCAATAAATGAGTTTTTGCTCAGACAATGCCTTTAAGCTGCCCCAACTGGGATCAGGCCGAACCGCTGGCTGAATTTGCGCGTTCGCAACGCTAGGGGTCTGCGCTGCACGCGCGCGCTGTCGCAGAGAGCGAAGAAATTGAGGAGAGAGCAAACTGGTTAGCCGTAAACATGACGCAATACCCTCGCGACACGGGTTCCCGCCATGCCAGACCTGGGTGGAATTGGGGAAGACTGTAATCATAGAATTATGGAAGAGATGAAAACTTGTGTAGAATTCAGCCATGATCTTTTGAAAATGTTTGATCTGCGGGATGTGGTGCTCGTTTGAAAGGATCGTAGTTACTTTCGAGACAACCTAAAGGCTGCTGCATGACGAAGGCGCAGAAGTAGTGTAAGTTGAGCGGGCGCAAACGCGGCGCGCACGTATCCTCACCGTTGTAAATCCTGCTCCTCATGCTCTGCGGCTAACAAAGCCGTGATCGCGCCCACAGGTATTGCGCCTTCGTCATGCAGCAGCCTTTAAAATATCACGGTGCAAAAAAAATTATCACTTTTTGGCTTTTCTATGGATTCGCACAAACTTTATTCTGTCAAATAGAAGAAACTCTTTTCTCTTTAAAAGGACCTTTGCTGCTTTCTGTAAGCGTAGATCAGAGAGATAGGTAGGAGAATAAAACCACTCCAACTTTGGTCATTCAAAGTTCGGCCGCTAGAAATCTTAAATTTGCGAGAAATTAGAGCGAAAGCTTTTGTCCACTCTTTCCATCATCGCAGAATTTGTATCAAATGAGCACTGGAGGAGTTGTGATTTTTGGATAAACAATACAAAACAGCAATTTTTGATTTTTGTAGCATCCTCAAAAAGCATAACCCTTCCTTCAAAGAGATGTCCATTTGATACAACATCGCATTGCTGGAAAGGACGGATCAAAAGACAAACGATGCAGCTTACTTCGATTTTCATCGCCAGTTTCGGATTTTTAGCGGCTTAGGTTTAGATGACTGAAGGTTTTGTTCTTAATGCGATCTTATTTGGCTTGTTAAAAGCGGTTTTCTTGCTTTTAGCGCATATTGAATTCCTGTCTGCCACGGCATCTGCCATGCGTTCCGCTTGCGGCTGGGATTTGCCCGAATGTCAAAGAAAAGTTTTTTAAAATATGAGTGTACCTTATTGTTTTGTAGGTTCTTCACAAGCTACGTGCTAAATTTCTGTGTCTATGTTGCTTCCTAAGGTTTCAGCTATAGAAACATCAAGCTTGAAGAATTTGGAACATTCTGTACATTCGTGCCTCTCGAGTAGGATCTCACAGATAGCCTCTCCTAAAGTATTGCAAAGAGTTTCAAGTAGAGGGGAGGGCGTAAAAGAGATGATAAACAAGCAGCATTTGCCAAGATTACTTACGCCATGTATACGCCAGCGTGTTCTCCTGATACATCGTCCCAAGGGTAACCAGGATCTACTACAAAACCACATGGCCTTTTTGTCATTTGTAATTGCGCATATTCCTCCAATTCACAGTCCCACTCCTGGAACATTTGTAAGGGTGACGAGTGCGAAAATTAGTACAAAATGACTTTTTCGTTTATCGTATGTTATAACAAGGTATCACCTAAATCTAGAATAAAAGAATGATTGGTTAATGGTGGAATGCATGACCCTTTGTTTTGAAGATTCCCCTTAAGATTTTGGCTGGAAGAGATGATGCAGAGGTTACGCTAATCTTTAAACTTTTCTACGATCGAAATTACGGAGACTAAGACGTTGTTATGCACGCGATTCATTTGACTGAATCGGCGATGCCGTTTTTGAAAAATGCGTCTTGAAAGCAAAGTGCCGCATTGCTGTCATTCTTAATTTCATTATTTGAAATCAGCTCTACGTGGTGCTTTTGAAAATGCATGAAATTCCACTTTGTTATGTGCGCGGGCCTCAAACCCGACGTTGCTTTCTCAGACAATTCACCGGAACTTCCGCAGGACAAGCAGAACTTGCAGCGTTTCCGCTGCAAGTTCTGCTTGTTCTGCTGTTCTGCTGTTCTGCTTTCTTAACCACCAAGAAAGTGCACGCTCGAAAATGTGAGGTTTCCGCAGGAAATTGACGTCACAGCGATCGTAAACCGGAACTTCCGCAGCACTTTCCACAAAGCGCTGAGAAAGTGCAGTAAGGCTCGTAAGGTTTCCGCAGCACTTTGACCTGCCAGCATTTCCGCAGGACTTTGAGAGCGCATGCATTCGCGATTGCGAAATAGCGAACGCAACATCAACACCGCATAGCGCTCTTTTCTTCCATACTGTTTCGCTTCTGCTCCTCCTCTAATCTTACTCTTTTTTCTTTCTTTCTTCAATGTTGGCGTAATTAAACCTATACTCATCCATATTCTAAGTATTCTTTCAGGCATCGGTGCAGGTGTGTGAACAACCATACCAAGCTGCTGGAGTGCTGGAAAAGGGACTCAACGGAGGAACTTCGTCTAAGCACAACGCCCTTCTTCAGGTATATCGAACTTCTTTGCTTTATGTGCTTTGATTAAAATAACTGTAGAAAATATGCACAGGATATAAATAAAGCAGAAGTGATTAGATAAAAATATTAGGTCGTCCCAAAAGTATTTTCGCTTTTTTTTGAACAAGCGCCACAGTCCGCAGAACAAAGGTATACAGGAGCTCTTAGTAGAATTTGATGCAGTTTTTCATGCTCTTTCTGATGGTCATCTCTTAAATGCAGATGATGCAACGAGCTTTCTGAAAATTGCTACAAACTGCAACTCATGCTTTTTACCAAGGTCAGGTTCGGCTATTTTTTCAAATTCTTGCACTGATTCCCCGGAGAAGTCCAAGTAACCTGTCGATAGAGCAGACAAAGTAGGATGCAATACAATTTTTGTCCATTCCATAGCTTACTTTGAAAAGTTTTTAAAATTAGTTTTTCGATGCTATCAAATTCCATATTTGGTCAACTTAAACCTCATAAAACAACAGCAACTCGGGTGTTATTCGACGCAGCACTTTCTCCTCTTTCGTAGACATGTTTTTTGTTCCTGATTCGAGAAGTCTTGGAGGATAAAATCAACAAAATGAATGTTTTTCAAGGAACCTCAGGCTGTACGCGACAAACTAGAAATTAGGTAGTTCGAACCCCGGAACGTTCAGTTGTTTCGTAAGATTAGTGCTTAATCCTAATCCACTTTAAAAGTATCAAAGGTCGAGAGTTTAGTAAAGTTTGACGAGTCTGCGTCTGGTATGGAACTTCTAAAATTCGACGGTGTTGTTCAAAATTCTGTCAAAAAGTTATGGGGAGCCTGGGAGGGAGATTGAAACAGTTTTGTATCCTACTTTCTTTCCTCTATCCGCTGGTTACTTGGACTTCTTCGGGGGATCAGTATAAGAATTTAGAAAAATAGTGGAACTTGACCTTGGTAAAAAGCATGGGTCGCAGTTTATCGCAATTTTCTGATAACACATTGTTTCAACTGCTAAATAAAGACGACCATTTGAAAAAGAATAAAAAACTGCATCGAATTCCAAGAGCTTCTGTTAACCTTTGCTCTGCGGATTGTGGCGCTTGTTCAAAAAAAAGCGAAAATACTTTTGGGACGACCTAATATATCAAAACAAGGGGGGGGGGGGAATGGATCACCGACATTTCAAAGTGACCTACAAGCTCTTGGTGAATATTGAAATATTTTCAAAAATTTTTAGATTTAAATTAGGTGGGACCAAAAGTACGTTCGCCAGTTTTTCAAAAAATCATAACTTCCCTTCGACTCGATGGATCTCTTTGCGTTTATATTCATCTAAGAGAAGAAATCGTTCTTTTAACAGTAGTACTTTTGCAATGAATTGGCATATAAAAGTTTGAAAGTTAGAAGCGTGCTTTTGGTCCCACCTAATAGTTGTGGACAATTTTCAAAGGAGCTGTGCTAAAAAGAATCGAGATGATAAAAATTGTAACCGCAAAAATTCGACCATTCCTGAATTTTCTTTTGCTGAAAGTGGCCACACGCTTACGAACTCAAAAGTTTCAATCCCTCCCTCCCCTCCCTCAAATAAATTTCTCGCGCCGCCACTGCTTTTCGTGTGTCTATCCTTTTGTACTCTCTGCTTTTGCAAATCTTTTCCCTCTCACAATGCCGCACACATTACAAAATAACAATTTTTGATTCAAAGATAAATTCAAAACTTACGATTTGGAATAATAGTTCGAGAAATACGAAATTTAGATTTCAAATAATAGTGTTGAATGACTGAATAAAATAGAAATAATGTGGTAGAAATATACCAAAAGAAAAGGGGCGGGGCATAGTGGGTCTCAAAAATATTCTATTAGTCTGCGACTGTAGATAATGAAAGATCAAAGCTCTTCTAAACTCCAAAGTATTAGGTTGTCCCAAAAGTTTTGTCGGCTTTTTCGAACCACTGTAAAACCACGCACAATAAAGACCTTAATGAGTATCAATATGCATTCGATGCAGCTTTTCCTTCTCTTTCTTACGAATACACCTTCATACCACAATCTTGTGTGCTTTTTTTGATAATTGCCAAAATTCTCCACCTGTCAAATTTACCTGCTCAAAGTTGAGCTAATTTTCAAAAATTTCATTACAAAGTTTCGAAAAAAATTAAGTACGGGTCAAATAGAGCAACTCTCGGGCTACAAGATGGTATTTTTAGATTCTACTAGTCTGCTGATTTTAACTTCAAAAAATTATTTCTCCGAGGCCTTGGTTTTTAGCAAAGTCATGAAACGCGCAATTGCAGCAAAAGCATGAAAGCTTTTGAAGTTTTGCGAATTCAAACTTTATTGTTATCAGACATCATTTATGCAACATAACCAAGTTTGATTTGCTTCAAAATCAGCTTTTTGGAATTTTTGGTAATTTTACGTGGTGAAATGTGTTCAAGAAGCCGCGGTTTTTCTCAAATAAGTAATTATTACGGACTTGATAAACGTGGCCCACGTAATCGAAAATAGGTACAATGTAGCCAAAGGTTTGCCCTACATAACAGTCATCAGCGCTTGTCAAAATATCAAGATAAAAATTTTGAAAATTCAGGAAAGTTTTGGCGCTACTGCTGAGGTGCTCAAAAAGCCATGGCGATAATGTCGCAAAGACGGGGTAGATCAGGGAACAAATACAGCTAAAAGAAAGAGGATAAAAAAATGAATAGAATGACACCAAGGCCGTTCATGGATTGGTGTTCTGTGAGGTTTGGTGAGCGATGAAAAAAATCGACAAAACTTTTTTTGACAACCTAATAGTTTGTCTAGGCAATTTTCGAAGGTGTGGCTCACTCCACGTCCCTTTTTGCTAAATAAAATCGGGGGCTTACAAAAACTGGAACCACAAAAATTCAACTATTCCCAAATTTCCCTTTGTTCGGTGGCTCACGCTCACAAACCCAAATAATTTTTTGTCCCCTCCCCCTCTTGAAAAAGTTTCTTGCACCGTTACTGCTTTAATGTATCTATCCTTTTCTGCTCATCTGTTTTTGCTGTTTTATTAGGGTGTCTCATAATTTTTTACCGTTTTTACCCTAAACGTCAGCATTTCTCGATTATCGAGGCACCCTCAAAGGATACAAGTACATGATCTTACTTCTGTATGTATGAGACATATAATCACATGCATGGGAGGAGCTCAGAACGTCTAGGGGCGGAGGTTGCCATTTTAACTCATTCATTTTTTTCTTTATTTCTAGCCATGGAAAAAATTCTGAAAGTGTACAATTGAATGTGCGATGTGTCAAGCATATGCTAGGATAAATGGGGAATTTTTTAGCTACTTTGGGGCGGAGATACGATTTTTGACAGAAAAATCCGTTTGCAACTTCTATCAGATTTCAGTTTAAAACTTTACGCGGGATATGATTTGGGCAGACTTCTAATAGCTATCTTGTAGAGCTTGCTTTGCCCTGTCGATTGATCACTCAAGCCACATTGGATGGAGGAAAGGTACAAAAAACGGCGGTTTGTAGTAAAAACGGCAAAAAATTATGAGACAACCTAATAAATGCTTTTCTCTCTCCCAAAAATACCTCCTGCATCTTCAACGGATCAAATCTTTATTTTCGAGTTCATGCTTCAAATAGTGCCTACCTGTGACTGTATTCATGATACCTTGAAATATTCTACCTCTCGGTAGTTTTATCACTCTTTATCAGCAAGTACCCGTATTCACAAAAGTACCTTGAGGTAAATTCTCAATGCAATCTTGCTGATAATGAGTGATAAAACTATCTGAAAGTAGAATTTACCTCAAGGTATCAATGATGAAAAAGGCCATTGAAGTACCTTTTAATGGAAGCAAGCTCCACAGATAGAAGCCGGAGAAGAAAATTACTCCATTCTCAAAATTTCTGCGTTTGGTCGCAAAACTGAAACTCGCAACGGAACTCGGAGCTTTATAAGTTTTATAGCTTGCTCTTTCTGACTGTGACAAATTTGCGCTGATTGAACCTTTTTATGAAAAGTTATGATTTTCGAAGCAAATGCCAAAAAAATCATATTTACTCTTTTTTAAGGCTTCCTCAAAAATCATAACTTTTTAAGAGTCGTTCAATCAGCGCAATATTTGCACACTCAAAAAGAGTAGGTAACAATAGCTATTATACGCATTGCTCCGATTATTTGCAAGCAGATTTTTGCGACCAAACATGGGGAATTTGAAATGGTGTAATTTTCTACAACGACTTCGATCTCTGAAGCTATCAAAAAGTGCCTCAGGTACCATTAGATGGCATGTCTTCTTTCAAAATAAAGATGTGCAGATCGGATGTGAAGGAAGAATGTTTCGTATTCTGAAAAGGATGGGGACGAGCTTTTGGTTCATTAGTATTATTTAGTATTAGTTTATAAAAATTCAACAATAATTTATAATACTTATTATAACTTTCACTTACACATACCTGCCTTAGAGTGTGACACATACTCAGACAATCGCCGCGGGCAGGCGGGCACCGGAGAAATAGATGGCTGATTTCTCGCACCCCGCCCGCGGAATTTTTGGAAAGCAATCAGGACTTTTCGGAAGAGCGCTTGCTGAGTTCTCGATTCCTCAGAGGTTCAGCAATATATCTGCAAAAGATAAGAGCGGAAAAAAATTCAACAAGCGGTCTCTCAAAGACTCGCTGACTATTTCCCTGGAATTTTCGAGCGGAATGCAAAATTTCAGCAGTGCGTATTTTCCGGCGCCCGCCTGCCCCCGGCGATTATCTGAGTACCTGTTTTGTGTGGAAATGCTGGAATACTAGATTAAAACAAAAGTTCTGTCGCTCCAAATCTGTCTGTTTCAGAGCTTCTCTTGTTGAGATTTAGAAATTTCCGAAAATTTAAAATAAGTCGTCCAAATTTGCTTCGTATTTCTTGGCGAAGAAGTTGCAAAGTAGAACACTTGCGGCAAGGCACGATTTACATCAAGAAATCAATTAATTTTCATTACAGAAAGGAAGGGAGGCCGAAGCCGGCTTCAGTCGCGCGGATAAGGTCAGAATGACGCCCGATAAGTGGAAACGGTTTATTTCCCCACAGGACCATCTTCTGTGAATGAGATTGTTATTCTTGTTTTTATCTTACTCTTCCACTGTTCTCTACTCTTCCATCAGTATAACATTGCTTTTTAATTCTTAATATCTGCCAATTTTTTCCAACCTTATTCGGTTTTGCATACATACTCGAATGCTTCTGTGATTTTATGTGTATATATTTATTTATGAACACTTCATTGATCTATTCTTCGGCCTATTGTGATTCTATATGGTACCTGCATAAAACAATATACTGTGCCATTTGCTTTCTCACTAAAACTATCTCGCTGTCTACGTCTCTTACCATCTAGAAAGTCTAGAGGAATTTCCACATCAAAGGAATAATGCCTTATAAAAAGCGAAAACCTAGTATTGGAAAGGAAAACCTAGTATCAAAAAGGAAGCTTGATATGGAAGAAGATCGCGAATCAAATGCGAAAACCGCAAAGTGCTGCGGAACTCCAAACAAAGCACTGCGGAAATCCTGCACCCTGAAATTGCAGGGTTTCCGCAGCGCTTTCGCAGGATTTCCGCCGGGTCACTTGCGGAAATCCTGTGAAAGCGCTGCGGAAGTTCCGGTCGGTTGTCTGAGTTGGAAGTGGTGCAGCATCGCTATAACTTTTTTTGCAAAATCTTCATCAGACTCTCGCTTTTGCATTTGGGCCCCGCTTGCTCCATGCGATGGTTTGTCAAAATTAAAAAAGGCGTTTTGCATATGTCTCTCAATAAAAGTTTTGGGGTGGGGGGGGGGGGAGGCGCTCGTTACGTGCGGGCTGCCAAACGGAAAGCGTCGCAACGCGGCGTCACAGTAACCGCGCGCGGGGAGCAGCAGTGCAGAAAACTTGTTAGATTCATACCACTAGATTACCAATGCTTCTTCTATATTGTTAGTCTTTTACCTTCTTCAATTTGTATCTTTTTTGTTGTTCAAAGAGCTCATTTTACAACTTTTGTGGCAGAACTTCAAATAATCAAGCGAAACCAAAATGAGAATACTCTGTGAACCTCGACAAAGGATGAGAAGCTGAAAAACTTTGTGCTGCGAATCATGCTGGCTGAAATCTCCGAGTGCGGTCACTGGCAGCCTTTCACTTGGCAGCCCGCAAGTAACGATACGTCCCCAAAGCTTTGTTTCCTCGAAAGTGCAGCATTGGTATAATTGCCTTCATTTATCTTATTGTTAGAAAAATTTCAATGTTGTCAACAGTGTCTTTTGAGCGATCTATTATACTGTATGGAGCCGCCTTTGCCGTAGTCGCGAAGCTTTGCTGTACATGCAGTTTGGGCTGAACTTGTACAATAGGATGGTTTTGAGAAACCCTCGCAAATGTACGCGCTCACTCAAGGAATTGCGAACAAACGCACAACATTATGGTTTGAAGCGATTTGATATACCTCTCTCCTCCCCCCCCCCCCCCCCCCCCCCCGCTTAAAACGTCAGTAACTTGGACGCACTTTTTTTATCATTTGAGTAAGGAAAGAACAAACTTGAAACAAAAGCTATTGTGTAGCACAGCGGATTGAAGTATTTTCTGTTAAGATGTTCGTTTGCAGTTCCAGGCACTGTAGTCCGATCCATTTGTGTGTGTATTTGGCCGGCTTGTTTCAAGTCTTGGGATTAATCTGGACAATGAGGTCTTTCCAGCTCACCACATCTTTGACATTAATTGCTTTCGGTAAAGGGTCTTGATCTTTTCCATTATTCTGAGTTCCCTCAACCAATTTCCTTCTATAGCTATTAATAAACTCGAGAAAAGCAGTAGCATTGGTGCCAACCACTACACCATCCTCACATTCCGGATCGAGGTGTACTGAAATAGATTTCATTACAAATGAAGGTAGTGTTCTACTAAAATGTTTTCCAGTTTTTCGCTTTTTCGAAAACTCGCCATGAAAATCAATATCTGAGCTTTTCCGCATGAAAATGGCGAAAATGAGCTAGAAACGAAATTTTCGGTCCGCGTTCAGTGGAAAAATACGTGTAAGTGGGCTGAAGAGGGAGGGGAGGTCGGAACGGTGGAGGGAGGTGCTGAAGACTTCCAGTATATTTTCACACAATGGAGACCTGGAAAGCTTCGAAAAGGGCTCAGTTTCGCCATTTTCATGTGCTGAAAAGCCCAGATATGGCTCCGTAAGGACTAGAAGGCTTCGAATAAGTGCAAAACAGGAAAGCAAAATTTCGCGGGGACACCGCCTTTGAGAATGATATCGACTTAAAAGCTCACAAGCATTGCAGATTGCCGGCAACAGAACAGTTAGCTGAAAAATTCAACAATTAGGCAGCTCTAACTCCACAAGCTCGTAAAAAACTTGAGCACTACCGATGATATAACAAGGTAGACTCTGGCCATAGTTTTATGTTCGAACTGGGTGGGCATCCTTTTATTGAGAGGTGTTCATTGAATTCACGAAGGGGGTCTGCCACGTACTTGACATACGTGTTTATTGCAAAACTTCTAAATGTAAAACACATTTGATTCAGCCGATCTTGTTAATTATTACATTTGCACAATTAGGTGCCTAGAATTTGATTTTGACAATCAGTTCACATTAATGATAAAGCGAGACGTGGCTAAACGGAACAATAGACTTTATACTTTAATTAGCCACGATACGTGATGTGCAATCGGATCAACTTAGAGCCGCATGCATTACCATCCTCGCCGGGAAGGATTGCAGCTTAAAAGAAAGTTTTGTATGCTAGAGCTCCAGACGTTTGGATTTCACGCTGTCTATCCATCCGTAAGTATCCTACTACCCTTCATATGAACATATTGAATAGGAGCGAAAAGTTTTACAAGCCGCAAATTCCAGGTTTTTGTATGATCCCGCCATGATCCCCAGCGGCCGACAATTTTTTCTTCAAAGTCATTTTTTCCTTCAAAATCAATAAAAACTCCAAAGTTGTGCTGTTTATCTAACCCAGCAATGTCAATCATGTTTCTAATAAGAACAAATGATGTTTTGAAGTCATGACATTTACGATGAACCACAAGTCGAAAGCTTATCAAAAGTTTCGATATTTCAGTAACTCATTGTTCCTATCGGCAACATGCTCAGCACTTTGGTTTAGATGATGAGTGCAACTTTGGAACGTTTTCGTTGACTCTGCGGGAAGAAAAATGATTTTTCGAATAAGGATTGTTAGCCGCTGGGAATCATCAGGTAATCATATAAAAAGCTGGAAAATGCAGCTTGTATAGCTTCTCGCTCCTGCTCAATATGTTTATAGTGAAGGATAGTAGGAATACGTACGCATAGGTAGCTAGTGGGAATCCAGATAACTGGATCAGGATATGAAGCTTTCTTTTGAGCTGCGATCCCCTCTCCGGCGATGATGTTAAAGACAGCGGCTTGGCAAATGTCAACTTTGGTATACTCATCGTTCTCGGTTCTTCTGGATGAGCTAAGTCCGAGACTGTGCTTTGCAGCTACAAAAGATCTTAGTAACCCCCTTTTCCAGAGGTGAGAAGTATTTGGGCGGACGGCGTGTGCCTGCCCTCTAGAGCGCGATTGGGTCGTGAGTGGAGACACCGCACCTACAGTACCCACGAGCCAATCGCACTCTAGAGGGCAGGCATGCGCGCTCCGCCCAAATCACACTTCTCACGTTTGGAAGAGCCGGTCATTGATATCTTTCGAAGCTGCAAAGCACAGTCTGGTTAGCTCATTCAGAGGAACGAGAGTGATGAATATCAGAAATTGTCATACTGCCGAGTCGCCTTTAATGCCTGCGGTCCTTAGATGAGCAACTGAAAATTTGCGGATTCTGAACAATATGAGCATTCAACACTTTCTTATACAGTGCTGGCCAAAATTATAGGTCCACTCTAAAAAATGCCATAACTCACTCTGTTGTGAATGAAATTTTCCAAAATTTGGTAGAGACGTGTGTTTACCAGCCTACTATCAGTCTTCTAAACCATTCTCGTTTTCGTTTGATTATTCAAGAAAAAATTAGAAATTTTGAAAAGAGCAGGCTTGAAGGCTGGCCAAAATTATAGGTCCACCTGGAGTTTTTACTGATTAAAGCACTTCTTAGCTGCCGAATTTCTTTAAGTAGGTACACATCCGAAAACGTTAAACAGCTGCTTTAGTCAAGCTGTGTCATACCTCCAAAAAGAACTGATTATCTGCTTTTTTGCCTTGAAGATGCACTCACATGTATTTCGCTCCACAAACCTGCGTTGAGTAACAAATTTTGCAGTTTCTCAGCTGGATCGGAAGGGACGGGGTTTCGTCTATCTTCTGCATGCTTTTTGACATGAGCGTTGAGGAAAAAATCCGAGTTTTTGCTGCTGAAGCAAATCTGACATTGACAGTACTGCAATCCTGAGCTCAAATTTCTGCCTTCAAACTTCTTTTATAATGTTCTCAGAAGCATTGAGTAAAGTAAAGGCATTGTTCCTATGAAGGGGAGTCCATATACCATAGTTACAACTTTCTAGAGATCCTAGCATTCGAGTATAATTACTGAAATCACTCTGCAGGAACTGATTACGACAAGCACCGAAGCTACTTGTGGCTCCGACCAAAATTTTCAGAAAATTCATGTGCTAACATACACTACAAGCTGTATCCACTCTAGTAAATAATTACTGTCAAAAATCTAAGTGAGGTAGCACTTGGAAAGCTATTTTGGATCGCGTAACACCATTATTACGTTGCACACACAACTCATGTTTCGAAAAAGAAGCAAGGCAGCTTTGTGGACACTTGCGAGTATGGCGAACAGCTTTATTCTTGTGTAAAAAATGCTTCTACAATATCTTGAGGTTATAATGACAATGCATAAAGGGTTTTAGGGCAGAAACTGAGGCTTACTCTGCTGATTAAGCTGATGTCAGATTTGCTTCAGCAGCAAAAAGTCGGATTTTTTCCTCAATGCCCACGTCAAAAAGCATCCAGAAGATAGATGAAACCCCGTCCCTTCCGATCCAGCTGAGAAACTGCAGAATTTCTTACTCAACGCAGGTTTGTTGAGCGAAATACATGTGAGTCATCTTCAAGGCAAAAAAGCAGATAATCGGTGCTTTTTGGAGGTATGACACAGCTTGACCAATGCAGCTGTTTAACGTTTTTGGATGTGTGCCTACCTAAAAAAATTCGGGAGCTAAGAAGTGCTTTAATCAGTAAAAACTCCAGGTGGACCTATAATTTTGGCCAGCCTTCAAGCCTGCTTTTTTTAAAATTTCTAATTTTTTTTTGAATAATCAAACGAAAACAAGAACCGTTTTGAAGACTGATAGTAGGCTGGTAAACACACGTCTCTACCAAATTTTGGAAAATTTCATTCACAACAGAGTGAGTTCTGGCATTTTTTAAAGTGGACCTATAATTTTGGCCAGCACTGTATAATTCTATTCTCCATGCAACCTCGAAGCTGCGCCTAAGGGAATTGTTGGATTGCAGGATACCATCTAGAAGCACTATTAGGTTGATGCAAAGTCAATGCATGCTCCTTATTCTAAAGCGGTAGAGACAAAAAAACTTTTAGAATCCATCGTTCGGTAGAGCAGTGCAAGCTCTGCAAGATATTGTTTGAACGGCAGAACTTTCGATCTGTATGAAATTTGAGGGAAAAATCTAGAAAATTTTGAACACCCAAAAACCAGATTTCCGTCCAGAAAGATCCTGCGAATTCCCAACTTGGTCAAGCATGTACTATACATATAGATATCGTACTTTGTAACTGGAAATTGGTAATTAAGATAAGGCAATCGCCTTTTTCTTTTTTTTTCAATGTTAAATTTGATATTCTTCGACAACTAACTGCTCGTATAGGCTCAAAACTTATTATCGTACTTCCACAGGCTTGTAGTATGGAGTTACCTATGTTTACCTATGTCGGGACAGCCCAACATTGGTTTTGTTAAAAGAAGCCGCGTTTAATTAGCTTGAACCGGAAGTAACGTCGCTTTGATTTTAAAAAATTAGTAACTGTATCCTATGTGAGCGTACTTGCTTACAAAAACGTAATTAAAAATGAGTATTCATTTACTTTCTAATAACCGCACTACGGCTCTTTGGCGAGAAGGGCTGCAGAGATAGAAATTCGAATAGACGACTCACGAACGACACGATTTTCGAAAATAAATCGTTAAAAATCTGAAACGCTGCAGAACAACCTGAGAGCATGATTTTTGTATGTTTTGTGAGTTGGTCTTTCTGAAAACTTGTCAAATTTGTGCTGATCAAGCGTTCAACCCAACATTACTTCAATTATAGTCATCGAAAAATTACAGCAAGTGCACATGTGCATACCTGATGCGATAAGTTATTTTTGTGATCATCTTAGAGCTCTGTGGGATTCATGTGAACAGAAATGGGATTTTTGTACATTTGGAAAATTTTTGATTTTTCTTCCTAACTTTCCTCGTATCAAACTCTCCAGGTTATTCAAACACCGTCTTGTGGGGCCTCCTTTGTGCTATCCAGGACTCGGCACAGGTGGCTAACGGGGCAAGCTGGATATCGTTTTGGAATAAAAAGCAAGGGGATTTCGTTTGAGCAGAAACTCCCCCCCCCCTTCCCACCCAATCGCCTTCTCCCTTTATGTCACTTTTTATCTTCTAAAGAGAAAGCGAATGATCATTTCTGCCTTATTGATCCCATTCCTGCAAAACAATTCTGTTTCAACATCCATGTTCGACTGTCCATAAATCTTGGCATAGTTGCAATCTTCTTGTTAGTTGCTTGAACGAAGTCCAAGATTGGTACAGAACTTTATCGCACAGAATAACAGACTAACGTTTCGGCGAACTCGCCTTCTTCAGAGTCTGAAAAGTCGAAGACACATAAGTAAACTATCCGATCAAACACCTCTCGACTACAGAAAGGAGCCCAACCCTCTAAGAAAAACAACAGCCTCAACCAAAACCAAGATTAAGCCAGTGCTCACCTTAACAGATGAAAAGTTGGTGGGTGCAGACCACTTATGTCAAAAGCTGTACCGCCTTACTTTTATAGTTAACTAGTGACCCGGTTCTGACCTGACCTCATTATTCAAAAGCCACAGAGGCTCTGATAAGGAGACAGCTCGTTAGTAATGGCTAGGCACTCGTCCTTCCGGTTGATTTTTGGATTTTGGGCGGCTATCCAAAACGCTTCGAGTGTCTTGCGCGCTAGGATCTCGGGTTCACGCGCCAGGATTCGAACCTGCACTCCCACCTCCGCGTCGTCATGACTGAGCCTGCGATGCATGCCTAACGGAGTAGCTGCGTTGCCCTTGCTGAGTCCATCTAAGTGTTCTTTGATGCGCGTGCATAGGGGGCGACCCGTCTCGCCAATATACGTGTCTCCACATGATGTACACGTGATAAGGTAGACAACACCTGATATCATACAGTCTCCTTCCTTGCCGAATGGACAAATCACACAATTAGACGTTGTACAGAGACGATCGTACTCCCGGTTTCGTACTAGCTGCTG